TATATATATATATATATATCTATTTAAATATGGCACCTCAGTTGGAATTACTAATCAATCAAAGAATCTTATTCTTAATAACCAACTAATACTATATAAATTCAAATTAAAAATTAAACAAAGTCGGAAGATTCCAAATGCTAAAAGTTACTGGACTTACGGAACATCAAGCCCTATAATCATTAGAAATACATCTATATAATTTCTCAAGGTTAAATAAATTCTCAAGGTGAATTTGTTAATCGAATTGAACACCGATTTATTGAGAACATAATATAGTAATATAACATGCCAAAACTCAAATCTTAAGTATCACATAAAGGAGGAAAAGTACAACAAAAAAAAGAAAGACCGACGATCAATTAATAAGAAGAATATTAAAAGTAACACGTGTAGATAGTCCAAAAAACTTCTTCTTCTTCTTCATATAATGAGAAGTCACAACATGAAGCAAGTATCATAACCAAGTTGGATGAAAATCGTCATCTTTCAAGATCTTTTAGCAAGTTCTTATGGTTCGATATCAAGTTTTCTCATATGTTTCTAGAAATCTTGCCCATTTTGTTATTACCTAAATATTTATCTGTGATGATTGGCGGGCAATAACGTGCGAGGCACGTTCACATAGACTAGTTTATAAAAATTGGCTACAGACTAAATGGTGGTATTAATATCGGGTTATGGTGCAATTGCCCCTAAATTTGAGGATGACTCCGAGACTTTTAGTGAAGCCCATGAAGCTTGCCTTAGCTTGCCAGCCCAGATATTGCTAATACGTAAATAAAGCAATAATTAAGGAATTATTATGTTGTGAATAATATTGAAGAAATTGTGAACAACGACACATTAAAAGTTATGCAGAGATTACTCAAGATAATTTTCTTCTTGAAATTCTGTTAGCCTTGTATGCTAATCCAGAATTTTCATCGATGTGTGTCAAAATATAAATAATTAGATACATCGAAAAGTCAAGGGAAGTAAACGTATAACAAATATACATAAAATAAAAAAAATTATCTAATAAAATAGTGTAATTTTTCGGCAAAAATACCCCTTGCTTCAATGTGGTTCCGCCACTATTCATGCTATTTTGCATAAAATAATAGATTCTCGCACAACATAATACGAATAATATTTTGTATAGTCAATCAAATGTTGCATTAATTATGTGGAGAATACAATTTCTTATATAACCACAAATGTTGTATTAGGAATGCATGAGTTATTTTTTACTAATTCCTTCAACCAAATATAATATTAAATTATGCGAATTTTTTTATGTGATGAACAATAAAAATACTAATAATAAGTAATGGTTGTTATGTCAATATTATCTACTTTAAAAATATTTGTGTATTTAAATACTCTTATTTAAATATTATTACTACGCATATTTTTGTCCCATATTTTATCAGGTTAAATGAATTCTTACACAAATTACATCACTATTATTAACGTAAAGATTAGTATATAAAAAAAATCGACGAATGCATCACTTTTTCAGAGTTTCATATTGCAAATCAAAAAATTTATTATTTTTTCAGAAATTGAATTAGTATAAATTAGTATTATTTCTTTATACTAGCTTTTACTCCTGCGTTGGCTTCCAATCTAACATTGTACTGCATTATCGCGGAAAATCTACCCAAGGGGAGACAGAGAAGACAGAAGCCTAAGTTTGGAAATGAGAAAATTCGATGCGTGGCCGGTGTTTTTCCGGAGGGAATGGAGCCGCAACTGGCCGTTCCTAGTGGGTTTTGCCGTCACCGGCGCTATCATCACCAAGATGTCCCTCGGCCTCACTGAGGAGGAAGCAAAGAACTCTCGGTTTGCGCAGAGACATAAGAAGTAAGTCCTGTAAACTTAAATTGAATTTATTCTGTAGATCTGTATGTTGATTTGTCTTTAAATTATGAAATGTATAAGAAACTAAGGGCGGCTAATGAATTAAAATTTAACTTTTTAGGTTTTGATGACTAGGTATAACGAGCTGTAATTTTACAAACTTTTCTTGTTGAGTGCAAAAGGTCTTGTTTATGTTTGCATTCCCGATTGCAAGTAGATGATAACAACAACATACCCACTATAATCCACATAGTGGGGTACGGGAGGATAGAGGATTGTGTGTACGCATACTTTATCCCTACTTGTGAAGACAAAGATGTTTTCAGAAGACCGTCGGCTCAGAAAAGCATAAGCACCACATTAATGGAAAGAGGACAACATCGAGAAGCCATGTATAAGCAGCATAAAAAAACAATAAATAATTTAGATGACCAAAATGAAAGAAACCACAGGTAGTCGTAGTAACCTAATACCAACAAAATGTGATAGTACGTACTAATACTACTGGTATGAGTAGTCTAGACCACCTATCCTACTACCCTAGTCCTCGATTTTCACACCTTACTATCAAAGGTAATGACCTCGGTCAGCTGAAGCTGCGCCATGTTTTTCCGAATCACCTCTCCCCAATTCTTGATCGGCCTACCTCTACCTCTCCTTAAGCCCTCAAATGTCAACATCTCACACCTCCTCACTAGGGCGTCCGTGCTTCTCCTCCTCACATGTCCAAACCACTTAAGGGTCACTTCCCGCATCTTATCCTCAATAGGAGCCACACTCACCTTGTCGCGAATAACCTTATTCCTAATTTTATATAACTTGGTGTACCCGCACATACATCTCAACATTCTCATCTCTACCACCTTCATCTTCTGGATGTGGGCGATCTTGACTGGCCAACTCTCAGCCCCAGACAACATCGTCGGTCTGTCCACCACTCTGTTGTTACCTTTAAGTTTTGGTTGCACCTTCTTGTCACACAAAACACCAGAAGCGAGTCTCCATTCATTCATCCCGCCCCCCAATACAATGTGTGACATTTTCATCAATCTCTCCATCCCCCTATATAATAGACCCAAGGTACTTAAAATCTCATATCCTAGGGATGACTTGTGAATCTAGTCTCACTTCCCCTTCCCCTCCCTGAGTCTTACCACTGAACTTACACTCCAAGTATTCTGTCCTGGTCCTGCTCAATTTGAAACCTTTAGACTCCAGGGTTTGCTTCCACACCTCTAACTTCGCGTTCAGGCCGCCTCGTGTCTCATCAATCAATACAATATCATCTGCAAATAACAAGCACAGGCACCTCCCCTTGGATGTGGCGCGTCAATACATAAGTAATGATAAAAGGTGAAATATTTTTCTGAAGTGAGCCAGAGTTTGAGGCAGAGGATTTATTTCTGTAATTCGGGAGTTACCAGTGGTCAAAGTAAGGATGCGTGCCCTTGAACTATAGGATATATGAATACCTTTATAACAACATTCTCAGATGTGGAAAGGCAAATTTTTATGTAGAAAAGTTTTAGGAGTTTTTTAGGAGTAATGTAGAGGGAAAAGCTTAGAGAACCTCATGCTAAGAACTGCAACCGAGTGGATAGGATACTGAACCTAGTAACAAGGAAATTTTCAGGTTAGAAGACAGAACGAGAGACAGGCTAGAATGTGAGCTGCAAAGGCTTGTTTGTGAGCGGTAAATAATCCAGAAGCTCTGGTTGAGTCTGGAAGAATCAATTATTGTAAGATTCAGTAGAAACTTAAATGCCTTAAGAGTTTGAGGTGACGAACAATTTCCAAATTGTGATACAGATCCAGTTCCCTCTGCTACAAAAAGAGATGAATTAAGTGGAAGGGGGATAACCCAGTTGTTTCTCCGGTAAATCCTACTATTTTAGTTTGGCCAAGAGAATGCCCCCGTGGAAACATTTTTAAAAGCAATTTGGAGGATTCCACCAAAAGTTGCTTCTTTTGGGTGGACGACCGTACATGATGCCATCCTAACTCCTGACAACCTGAAGAAATGGGGCTGTATTCTTTGCAATAGATACTACATATTTGACCAGAAGATGATGGGATATGTTTCTAGCTCGTTCAGAGTAGTCTTAAAAAATTATGTGCTAGTCAGAGTAGTCAAAACCGCTAAGGTTCTTTAGAGCTTTAAAAGCGTGGGCTTTAGCAGTTTAGCCAAGAAAGCACCAATGAATGACCCAATTGGGGGCAATAATGTGATTGAACACGTTTTAACAATCAAACAAAAAAAAGCGCCAATGAAGAAAAAATAAAAAATAGAAATGCAATGCAAGAAAATGTAACTATAAACACAACAATGATTTTTTTTTATGAAGTAAGATGTTATATTACAGGCATCAATAAGATGCAAAAACATACAAAAGAGGTTGGTTAGCTCCATTTACACAAAAATACAGTTCTAGTCAGGGAGCTAACCAACTGCACCAAGAACCTAAGGTTGGCAATCAAGCCAAAGACAAAGAGCTAATAAAATCTAGAAATGGAAATAACTCATTTACTGGGGAAAGGTTGCTCCAGCTATATAGATTCCTAAGGCGCTTTGCTTCAGGGAGCTGTTGGGAGTTGATATGCCATCAAAGCATCTGCGATACCTTTCTGTCCAAATACACCAAAATATACATGCTGGGATTATCTGCCAGATCTTCTTGATGGTTCTGTCAACTTTCCATCGATTCCAACTTTCAACTGCTTCTTTTATGCCTTGTGGGGTTGTCCAACTTATGCCAAAAACTGAAAGGAACATGTGCCACAAATCTGTAGCCACTTTGCAGTGCAGTAGCAAATGGTTTATTAAACACAACAATNAGCTTTTTAATGACTGTCAATGGTGGAATTGTTGCTCTCTTTTCCTTTGCTTTACATTACTGGAATTAGGGATTGAGAGATAGAGAGAGACATAAAGAGAGAGAGAGAGCAGGAGAGAGAGGGCAAGAGAGAGAGAGAGAGAGAGAGAGAGAGAGAGAGAGAGAGTGCATTGTTGTGCCCTTAAAGACAGAACCCATGAGTGAACGTGGACACACTTTTGACAAGAGAATGGAAAAACTATAACATGTTGTGCTCTTAAAGATAGCCCATCGGTGAAGGTGCACACACCTTAGCACCTTGACGCCTACACTAAAGCGTCAACAATGCGAGGCATAGCTCACAACCTGGGCTTCCCCGAGCTTCACGGCGCAGTCATGCTTTAAACGAGCTTGTCACAACACTGATACTAATGAAAAAGGGAAAATACATAAGTTGCTCCCTATATTTGTACCGAAAAGTGAGTTTCCCGCTCAACCTTCATTTAATTTCAACCCACCGTAAAGGTTGAGTGGGAAACTCACTTTTCGGGACAAGTATAGGGAGCAACTTATGTATTTTCCCAATGAAAAAAGAAGCAAAGACATGGGAGGTGGTAGCATTTTACATTGCATAGAAAATATGGAAGGAGGGAAGCAGGATATGGGAGATGATACCATTGTACATAGCTTGGCAAATATTGAAGTATGAGAAGCAGGAGATGTTTTGATGGAAAAGCAGTGAAAAACAATATGATAGGGGATGACAACTGGGTTTTTTTGGTCAACCAGTTCAAGTGGGTGTTTTTTTGATTTCGGAGCTCTTTGTGGCCTTTATGTACATCTTTATAGTCCACCAAGTTGGTGCTTTTGCTCGTCATAAAAAAAAAAAAGTGAACCAAAAGGGAGATTAGAATAACGGACTGTAAAGGAGGATTAAGGAGTGTTGAGTTACTGTTCAGAAAGTGGGGGAGCAAACATTATCTAAAGGTGTGGAGCAAACTTTGCTTTATTTGGTTGTCTCTTGGGCTATTTAAGGTTTTATGTACATGGTCTCTATCAAAAAAGGCTTGATGTATATGGTTTATGCCTTTGGGTGCGTCTGTTCTAATAAAATTCAGTTGACCTATAGAAAAGGAATTATGTTTGAGTTGGCTAGAGCATGAAATAAACCCTTAGTTGAGTGCTACTGGAGCTAATTGGAAGCAACTTTGGTTGTGTATAGCCCTTGGTCTCTTTTAATGAGCTTTTTACATCACAATGACGGCCAAAAAAGGTTTCCTTCTGGAGGATTGCTTAGGTTTTTGTTTTGAATGTGCTTCTGAATATAATTTGCCCCCGACATGTGGGGGGTACTATTCTTGTCACTCATCTACTGTTAACTGCAGAAAAATATCAAACTTTGTTTCAGCTGTAATCTCTGTCAGTATAGTGGAATGTTATGATCTTATTGGCGTAGAACTATGAGATATGCTGAGAGTAGTGGGATGAATTAGCCCGGTTAAAGTCGTTACATTATCTCATTGAAGTGGGATGAAGGAAGCCTTGGACAATTTTCTCTACTCCTGCTTGAAGCTTTGCAAGACAAAAGCAATGATGTAAAAAACTCTTAAATTATCTGGATTGTTTAAAGGGGTTTTATATCTATTTGTCACTTTGTTATCCAATTTTCGATTAGTAAGTGAACCCAAACCATCTGATCTGAAAGCTCAATTAAAGCTCAATTATCTCAAGGTGAAGGTGTTTATAGTAAGATTGTCTGAACCATGTGGTCTCCTTGGATTGCTCGGCTTATAAATAAATGGAAAAGAGTTATGTAATTAGAGTCACTAACATCCGTTCATATTAGGAAATTGTGACCTTTTATTGCTGAAACCACCTTAGTATTAGAGAGTTGCTTTATCTGAGCTCCGAATGCTCACTGTACATAGAAATGAATATTCTTTTTCAACTGTGATAGATCCTGGTTGATATTTGTGGTGTTGAAACAACATAAATTATTATTGTATTATTATTTATTTATCTGTTGGCTTCTAATGTGGAGGAAAATTTCATCTGTTTCATTCAGGTTTCGTATAAGAAACAATACTTGCTAGATGAGTAGTGGATTTATCTATGTTAAGTCACTAAACTTCTAACTTGTCTAACTTGTTTTATGTGCTTGCAGTTAAATCTTGTCATGCTTAATTTTGCTGTTGAGTGGAGACTACGATGCTGGACAGTCCTTTTTTTGGTACCAATTTTTTTAACGGTCGAAGACAAATTTATATTGCATAAAATGTCTCCCAAATCTTTTGGTGGAGACTAAACTCATGTTATTGGAAGCTATCATTTAACTGAAAACTGCTTTTGTTTTCTATAACATTACTACTAAACTAAGGTTTTATCTCTCAGAGCCTCCTTGAATGTGAAATATTCTGAGATTTCTTTGATAATCTCTCAGTTCTATAATCACGTTCGTCTCGGTAGCAGACAGCTGAGATCTACTTCCATAGTTTTCTGTGATGGTATTTGACTGAATCTAGAGTTTAAAATGTTATATGTGACTTATATATTATAGTAGCAATAGTGGAATAAATGCGTTGGACTGTCTTATGCAACAAAGATTTATGGGTTTTGGTTTTTGATCGTTCCCCTGCATATGCACACGAATGGAAGGATGCTGATATCTGTTGCTTTCAATCCAATGAAATATGTTTCTTATTTTTGTTTGCTGTGTTACTAAATCCCCCTGATCTATCAGCATTCAAGAAACTACTGCGGCAGACATCCATGCCTGTTATTGCGTCTCTTTCGGAGGTGGATAGCATAGACCTTATGTCACGTTCAGAAATTGGATGGCCCGGATGGGAACTTAGCGAGCCAAAATTAGATGGCCGTGATTTGTACTTAGCGTGAAGTGTAGGGTAAGCTTGCATATAATACTCTTATAGTCCAACTTTTCTCCGGACCCCGCACATAGCAGGAGCTTAGTGTATCGGGCTGCCCGAGAATTTATTGACGAATTTAGATGGTGAATCCATTGAGAACCCTTTCCGGGAACCATATCGTGAACTATCCGGGTTTGTTGAATTATCCGGGAACTACTCCCACCCCTCCATTATTCTTTTGAATAATAGTCTTTATTTGGATATTGAATACTAATAGTTGTCACACCTCATTTTTCCGAAGATAAGGAGTTTTACCCATTAAAGTGACATTAT